ACGCCAGACTTGCTGCTTCATATACATGACACTTTATTACATTCACCATTCTACAAAATTGTTTTAGTGTTCACTGTCATATTTGATCAATCACTTTATGCATGGCTTCAAAAGCCGATATTCTTTTCAATGTTATCATACCTTTATATCTTGAATTCAATGACATCATTAGGGTTCATCACAAAACCACTGTATGATTTCTATACACTGTTGTATGTCATCACATTCACCCAACATGGTATGTGAAACAACCTCACAAAGTAAGGATTATTGATGTGGATAAATGTACATGACATTTTCAACCAATCACATCTGGCAATACATTACTGTGCTTAGATATTTCTAGCATAGTATCTAGGTGTTAGTGGAGTAGTGTATGCTGTGACTATACCTTTTCACCACCACTTCCCTCTCTATTCAGCACAAATTCACAAAATAGTCCTGTTACCATACTTCCCGAGTATAAGCCTGAACATGTAAAATCGGGAAAATTGGGGTGTGGGCTTATACTCGAGGACCATCTCAGAAAAGATCATTTTTTGGTGGGTTTAAAATTGTAACTATCTTTCCAACCACAAAAAATTATCCAAATTACATTTTTCGTTCACAGCGCCGGTCTCGGAAAAATATTACATCTTTTTGATTTCCACAACACTTTTTACAATGAAGAAACTAACATGTTTATAAAAATACACACATTTTATTACAATATGATTTACATATCGTCTGAATTTACGGTGAAATAATGGGTAGGGTCTGTGGGAAAACTGTTGAAGGTTAAATCTTTATCATTATCTTCGTTGTGGAATGTTTTTGATTGTACGCAAACTCTCAATACAAATCAATTTCCGCCATGGTGTTTTTCATCATGATTTGACCTGAACAACTACCTTTGACCTAACAGGTCACGTCTTTTGGTAACTAATCAAAATGCTGTGTCATACAGATGAAGTTTTCAGATTATTGACAAAGTAATTTTTCAACGCAATGCGGAAGTGAATTATCGCGATGTAAAAATGTGATCTGATTTCGACCAAAAACGGTGATTTTTTCCCCTAAAGCTGTTGATTCACAATTTTTGAAGGGTAAACTGAGGGTGGAGGAAGTATTCAAACTTTTTACGGTTTCCAACAAGTCATGTCAAAGAATAGTTTGCTCGTTCACATCCCATTCACAATGGTCTCA